GGAACTATCAAACACTGTATGTAGCATTGTTCTCTAGATGCTTTCCCATGGAATTCAAGGAATTGCAATATATATAGGCATGGCAATTGGAGAGAAAACCTTGCCAACCTGCTCTCCGCCATCCTGTCGCATAGTGAGTGATTTCTTCTCTGAAAGCTCTCCTCCCTGGTTTCCTGCTGTGAGCTATCCTCCTCTACAGTGTCCCTGCAAAAAGAGGAGAAGGTGAAAGCCTGCCTGCAGGTTTAAATTAATTGCACTCCTCAGTTATGCTATGAGTTAACCAAAGCTTTAAATCACAACATTCTCAACTTCTAGTTTAAACATAATTGAAAAGAGAAAGCTGACATTAAAGTAGTAACTGACAGAGTGAACTCAACTGAAGTACAACAGTGCAAAATACTTATATGCAAATACTCAGATAATCAGACAAAATTATTCATAAGCAGTGGAGTACTACTTTTATCCAATAGACTGTTACTGATTTGGGGCACTCATTTAAACCCCTTTTTATTTTCAAAACTCACATTGTGAGTTATGTTGCTCTCATTCTAGTGGACCAACTACATTTTATTTTATAGAAACAGATTGAAACATGGCATTTTTGTCTGATTAAAAATGTAATGCGTTCTCCTTACAGAGAATGCTCAGAGAATGCTGTCAGAAAACGTGTATTTTGGCTGTTAGGATCTGCAAGATGTTGCATACAAGATAAGCAGGTGCTGTGTGTTGCTAGAGCTGGTTTCAGAGATTAGCTTGTCTTCATTTGGAAAAGAAGTAAATGCGGTTAGTGACTCTGCCTTGAGGCTCCAAAAGAACTATGTCCAAATCCACACTGTAGGACTCTTCACCCTATATTTGGAATTCTGTGTTTACATCTCTATGCCACTGAACTGTAACAAGGACTTACTCTGTTTTGTGTGCCTCGTACAAGCTACAACATCTGGCACATAGACCACATAGACAGGTGCCCAGGTGACTTTTGCTGGAAGAAAATTTAGTTATGTTAAAGAATGTCAGGTAGATAATAAGAAGACAGCTTTCATATTTCACGAATTTTATGTGTCATGTTTCTCTACTATAATTTTGACTCTTTTATGCATCACTAAAACTGACATACTATATTTCTGCGGGGGGTGGGGGGGAGTCTATTAGCATACCCTGTCAAGCTCAAAATAGAGACAGTTCTTAGAACTAATATTTGTGTGCAGTCATTAGTGGCTAAGAATAATAATTTACTTCTAACTGCAAGATTGCATTAACGTAATCTGTAATGGAATTCTTGTTCCTCCTAGAATCACAGCAAATTATTAAAATTGCTTTGTGGGGAGTACAAAGTTAAGGAGATCGAATTTGTTTTACAAGAACATTGAATGCAATTAATTTTTAAGATATATCTTGCTTTTTAAATACCAACTTTAGATACTAATAATTAAAAATAAAACTTTTATAGGGTCCATAGAAAGAAAATATGGTGGATAGGGAGCTTGTCTTGCCTATGGCCAACCCATATCAATCTCAGGTACCACATATTGTTCCCACCCCACTAGGAATGATCTCTGAGCATGGAGACAGGATTAAGTCATGAACACATGTCCCCAAAACAAAAACAAAAACAAAACACCTTTATAAGGAGACCTGTTCTTCTTTTCTTCCTATTTTCTTTTTTTTAGTTTGTTTTGGGGCCACACCCAGCAGTAGTCTGGGCTTGCTCAGAACTCTGCTTGGGGCTTGCTCCCAGAAGTGCTTGGGACCATGAAGTTCCAGAGTCAAATTTGGGTTTCATTCATGCAAAACATCTGTTCAACCTATTGTGCTATCTCTAGACCCACCTTTCAGTTCTTAATCCTAGAGTACACCTTTACATTTACATTCTACACCAGCTTTTGCATTTTTTGTAATGTGGTGTAGTAAAGGATAAACTTAGACCTCAGATATTCTTTTTGTTTGCTTGTTTATTTATTTGTTTGCTTCGGGCCACGCCTATTGGTTTTCAGGACTTACTCCTGGCTCTATACTCAGAAATCACTTCTGGCGGGCATGGGAGACTGTTTGGGATGTTGGGGATCAAACCTGGGTAGCCTGCATGCAAGACAAGCATCCTACCGACTGTGCTATTGCTCCAGTCCTAGGCATCAGATATTTTTTTGACACAAATGAAAAATGTAATTGTTGGTGAGCACTCTTGCTTCCTTATTTCATTTCATTTTCATTTCATCATCCTGTTATTCGTCGATTGCCTCGAGCAGGCCCCAGTAACGTCTCTTTCATCCTAGCCCTGAGATTATATTCAAGGCTCTTTAGGAGAATGAGACCCATCATTGTTACTGGTATTTGGCATATTTGGTACGCCACGGGGAGTTTGCCAGACTCTGCCCTGTGAGCAGGCTACATTCGATAGCCTGCAAGTTTGTCCAAAGTAGGAATGAGACAATAAGATGTCATAAAAAAAGTTCTGATAAGATGTCGTGCAGCCGCGAATGCGGCCGCGCGGTTCCGGGATCTGGATTTTATAGTCTCTGAGTCTTGGCCGCTGATGGGATTACACGGCGCCAGGGGGCCAGGTGGTGGGTGTGACCCCCGCCTACTGGAATTTGGAGGATCTGGGTGGAAGATGCTCGACTCCAATCCGAGTAGGCTTGGAGGTCTCGGCCCCGGAACCCGCGTGGCTTTGTCCCTCTGCCAGTACCTTCATGTGTGCGGAGAGTGGTCTCTTGCTTCCTTATATCAATGAATATTTGTGTTCATACCCTGAATACAAATAATAATAATACTTTTAATCTTTTTAGCTAATTCATACCATTGTAATGGGTAGTTTCTGTGTTGATAGGTCAGAACCCATGCTGTGCAGGTTATTGAATAGTTCATCAATTGGCCCAGCTTGAGTGATTGCTCTGAAACTTCATGAGAACTTTGAATATTCTCTGAATTATTACAGAGAGATTGAAGACCTCCAGGGTAATATTTTCATTTGCACATGAAATTCCACACTTTCAAAAATCTAGAAATGGAGTGTCAGTAGAGCTAACTACTATTAGTACTGTAGTGGTTGTCCTAACTACTCCTTTTCTCTTTTGCTTTATATCCAGTTGCCCCACAAATTTAACTTGCTTCATCTTTGAAACAGACTTCATGTAGCTTGATGCCCCCTAATTCCAACCACACTGAGTAAAATGAATGATATCATCTTTCCTTATGGCTAATAGTCCATTTTGTATATACAGTATAGTTTTTTTTAAAAATCCAATCACCTACTCTTGGACACTTGAGTTGTTTCTGAATAATTAATATAATCAATAACACCAAAGAATTGTTTTCAAGGGAAATAGAAACTACTAAATATATATCAGATAACTACCTAATACTTATAAGTTATGTTACTTTAGGGTACTTAAAGCCTATAAAAATACAATTAAAAAACTATTATTACATGTGTTTTCTTGATTTGACCTACTATCCACTACATATTATCAAATTCTTTTAAAAAGTTTTAGATAGTTGCTCTAGACTTCATTTAAAAAAATGTTAAGTAGGGGCCTGAGGACAGTACAGCAGCTAAGGCACTTACCTTGCATGTTACCAACCTAGGTTTGATCCCTAGCACCATATATGGTCCTCCAAATACCACCAGAAGTGATCCCTGAGCACAGAGAGAGGAGTAAGCCCTAAGCATTACTGGATGTGTCCTCAAGACCCAAAACTATTTTAAATGAATCTATTATTAAGTAAAATAGCATATATGAGTGAAGTTATATTTATCATCATAAAATATATGAAAAATAACAAGCTATTGCTATTTATCAGGATTAAAAAATAAGAAGCAGGAAAGGTGATTATATATAATAATGCCACCTTAATGTTTAACTTCGTACGGTAAAAAAATGCAATATATATACATACATATTTATTATATACATATATGTATGTATATTTGTATGCACACATGTGTATGTATATTTTGGGGCCACACCTGGCTATGCTGGAAGGCTACTTTCAGCTCTGTGCTCAAGGGTCACTCACAGTTGTGCTCTTGGGACCTTACGTTGCCGGGGATTAAACCCAGGCCTCCTATATGTGGACCATGGGCTATTCTTTTGAGCCATCTCTCCAGCTCTGGAAGATGTAGCTTTTTAAATATAAAATGTTAATGAAAATTATTTGAGATTAAGCATAACACACATTATGCAACATTTTTGTTTTAGCTTTGAGCATGTATAAATACCATAAGGTATAAGAAAGAATAGTTGATGTTGGTGTCCTTTGGCCAGTAGTGTCTTTCTAGGAAATAGCAGATTTCATTTGGTCACAGTACTGATGAATCGGGCCGGAGCGATAGCATAGTGGGTAGGGTGTTTGTCTTGCAAGGTGGTCAACCCAGGTTCGATTCCTCCACCCCTCTCAGAGAACCCGGCAAGCTACCAATAGCATTCCACCTGCACGGCAAAGTCTGGCAAGCTTCCCATGATGTATTCAGTATGCCAAAAAAAAACAGTAACAAGTCTCACAATGGAGACGTTACAGGTGCCTGCTTGAGAAAATTGATGAAAAATGAGAGGACAGTGACAGTGACAGTGACTGATGAATCTCCATATAGCTTGGAGCTTTGCAATTTGTGTTTCTTTGACTCAAAGAAATGATTTCTCTTATTCTGAGAAATCATTGATGGAAGCTGATTATGAGATAAGCCTTCATAGTCAAAAGACATCAATGAAAACAAAAGAAAAGACTGAAAACAATGCCTTGTTGTTTTAAAGATTAAGATTTTCTTGTTTGGAACAGAGATGTAGCTCAGTGGTAGAACATGTAGCATGTGAGGCCTGTGGTTTGATTCACTGTGAGAAAAAGGAGGGGGGGGGGTGGTTGTTACTCTATAAATACCTAAAATAGAAGTTATTTTATGGTTAAGCGAGAATACTCTCTTTTTAAAAATTGAGTTTTCATCATAGTTGCAATATATGCAGTGGAAACAAAAATTGTTTAACATTTTTCTTTTTCCATTTCAGAACGCTTCACCTTGTACAGCTCTAAAAACCTTAGACAAGCATGGAATAAGTAAGTCTTTATACAAATTGTTCTTGTTCTCTGTCTCTTTCAATTTTTAAAACTGTTTTAATATGTTTTCATGACTTCTTTTTTTATTTGTTCATCCAGTTATCTACTCACTTAGCTATTCGATAGATATTATGCCTAACTGTATGCTAGTCACAATATTCAACCTGATTTGACATTATATAACTTTTGCTACCTAGGGCACTGTGACGTTGCATCAAGGTTGTAAATCAAAGATCCATTTTGATTGGTACTTATATTCTAAGAAACATTTTTGTATCAGCACAGTAAAATAGCATTTATTCAGTAAATCATAGCATTCATCTTCTCTTCTGAATAATGGTAAGAACCTTCTAGTTTGATAACTTTTATCTTTTAGGAATTTTTTTTTCCATTTATCTATTTTTACCTCTAAGCTTTATAGATTCTCCATTTGCTTAATTTTTATTGAATTTCTGACCTTACTGAAATACATTTGATTATTTTGGTTTGGAATCTGATGAAGACTCAAGATCTGGGTTATTCAGGTTACTCAAAGCTCTGTCACTGCAAGCCAACCTTTTAGTAAATCATTGAAAGTTGTAAAGCAAAATAATTGCGTCTCTTCTTTAAGTATCATGGATTTCTCATTTCTCGCATTGTGTTGGTGGAGAAGATAACGGAAACTGTTTTGAATAGATAAGCTTAATTTGTCATATCAAAATTTTTCTATGGGAAATTTAATATATTGTCTCACTTTTTATTGGCACAGACTTGATTTTTAGAAACCGTCAGTTATGAAGAGAAAAACCATTCAAGTTTCTCTTTTATCACAAATGTCTCTTCTTTGTTATATTAGTAATGCCAGTGCTGTCTAAACGTACTGGACAGCTTATCTTAAGAGACACATAGAAGGGAAACCTTACATTTTACAATCATTTATTTGGCCAAATTCCTGTTTATAACACATGGTAGAATTAGTGTTTTCTGACACAGGACTTTGCTTTTACCACTTGATGAGTCAGTTCTTTTCTACTAACTAGATCTCCACTGGTAACACACCAGCTGCTGGAGCATTCTGTGGGTGATCCTTATCTTTTAACCCTTCCTCCCTCCACTTCACTGACCAGTGATCTAGCATATTTTATTAATTGCTCTTTTGTGCCGAGTCACATATAGTTTACAGTCTATCTTAATTAAATGAGCAGATTCATTTGTTCTCATTGTTACTCAAAAAGTTTTGTTTAACTGGCTAAACATTTTATGAAACAGTGCTTGATAAAATAGTCTTGCATCTGTCACCTGATTTTTTTTATTATGTCTTTATTTCTTTTTTTTCTTATTAATTTTATTGAATCACCATGAGATAGTTATAAGCTTTCATTTTTGGGTTACAATCACACAATGATCAAATACCCATCCCTCCACCAGTGCACATTCCCCACCACCAATATCCCTGGTATACACCCCCCTTTCCCACCCTCCCTCTGCCTCCGTGGCAGACATTATTTCCCATAATCTCTCTCTAATTTTGGGCATTGTGGTTTGCAATACAGACCCTGGGAGGTTATCATGTTTGTTCCTTTATCTACTTTCAGCACACATCTCCAAAATCCCGAATGGTTCCTCAACCCATCATTTTCTTAGTGATTCCTTCTCTGTTCCATCTGCATTCTCCTTTGCTTATGAGGCAGTTTTCCAGCTTTGGAGCAGTCTTCCTGTACTGTGTATCTACTATCCTTAGGTGTCAGCCTCATGTTATGTTGTTTTATACTCCACAAATGAGTGCAGTCCTTCTATGTCTGTCCCCTCTCTTTCTGACTCATTTCACTTAGCATGATACTCTCCATGTCTATCCATTTGTCACCTGATTTTTTAAGGAAAAGGAGAACCTGGAAAATCTACACAACGTGTCATGTGTAGACAAAATCGCCCAATTCTGATAGCTGTGCTTTATCTCCCTTCAGCTAGGCAGAGATAGAATGACTTCTAAACCTTAGCCTAAGTACTCCTACATTAAAAAGAAAAAAAAAACAGTTTAGAAAATAAGCAGCAACATTATCTGCTTGAACCAGGCCTATACATGGTGTGTAAACACCAGGCGGCTAGGAAAGCCCCGTTTGGCTCTCTCTTGCCACTGAGTTTGGTGGTCTCAAGACGCTTCCCCACCTGGGACAGCTGACGCCATGGACAGACAAAGGTAGAAACGAGGGCCAAGCTGGTTGGTGATCAGTTGCTGTTTTTTCCATTCTCCCCACATGCATGTTCCAGTCTCACTAAGCTCCCCATTCTAGTCTCATATTACCCCTCATTCCCATCTCCTGTCTCTCCCACTCATCTCTCCATGTTCCATCTCACAGCCTGGTCTCTCTCTAGTCTCTCTTCAACTTCCCAGCATTGGGGGCAGCCACCACCCCGTCTGTAGCACAATCAACATATAGAAATCCCTTCCTGATGAACGATCAGGCTCAAGGGTGGAAATACAACTTAGAGGTGTTTCTCATCTCTTTAGTTCAATAACTTGTTTAACATCTTAATTAACATCTTAATTCTGCTTCTTAATATTAGTTATTTTGCACGGACACAGTAAGAGATACATTAAGCTTATAGGGTGGCTATCTCACTATAGATGTCAGACTGTAGTGCTCAGGCCAGATTAATCTTTCCTAACCCTAGCAGGGTCCTAATCTAGATGTTACTTTTTGGATCATGACAGAATTTGTCCATGACCATGCTCTTACTTATAGTTAAGTATTATGGCACTTTGGCCAGGCCCATTTCGATGCCAGGGTAGCTCACAGCTTGCCCTGGGTCCATCCAGTCCCTCGTTGGGACCCTGCTTTTGGGGTGCTAGGAAGTAAGGGAGACTGAGGCTTAAATCAAGTCAAGAGAACAGATGCCCAGGAGTGAATATCATTCAGATTCAATTAACTCCCAAGTTGTCTTCCTTGTCTATTCAAAAAGGACATTGCTCTGAATTAACTTTGCAAAGGACTTAAGAAGAAGAGAAAAGTAATATTTACAAGTTAACAGAGTCTGATTAGGAAATAAAGGTGATTGACCAGTTGGGGAAGCAGAGCATAAAGAAAGGCAGAGGAATGGGAGCACTGTAATGGGAGTAACCCAATAAACCTAAGTTCCCTGTAGCAAGGCAGAAAGAACAAACCAATGTTATCCTACACATGGACCTTTTGAGTAGGACACCATCTCACATAAAACTGTCTAGATATCAGATCTTCCCTGTTGCAACTTGTATCCAGCACTTGCCCTATAGGCATTCTAACATAAAGGCCTGGAGCATCAAGGCCTACACCATCTGCTTCAGCCATTCCATAGTGACTGGTAGACTGCCTCTTAGAAAAGACATTTTTGCCCATTTGCATTTTGCCTCCCAGGAGAAACCAGGTGAGTATTGACATGATATTCAACTTAGTGTTGCTTCACTTTGTTCTGACAGTTCAGGAACTGAGCAGCCCTTTCTTGCCCGGTACATTCATGTCACCATAAAGGCAGTTCATTTCATTGACAAAAATCAGGATATGTGATATTTCTTCACTAGAAAAAAATCTAAACTATGCATTGTGTCCTATTTCTAAATTTGTCTTGAAAGATGCTAGGTATTAGTAAATAGGCTTTTATTTTGTGGCAAAATAAATTGCTCAGAATATATATATATATATATATATTTAAGTAATAATACAGGTTTCCTTAGGGATAACACTTTAAAGGGTCAGGAGATAAGACAACAGTAAGGGACCATGTGTGTCTGACGTGGATTTGATCATTGGCACTGCATTGTTCTTGAGAAGTAATGGATGCAGCCCTAGAGGGTTGGCATCATGTCCTCAGACCCTTACCTTGGACACCTGGTGGACCAAAAATCACAGGTGGGGCCACTGGGCCTCCTCAGCACCACTTGATAGTGACTCCACTTGCAAAACCAAAATCTGCAGAGATATTTATTATGTGCATTTTCCAACTACATAAGATTTATACTTGTGTGCAAAAGCAAGGTTAAAATACTCAAGCTGTAGTACTGTAACACTGTCCTCCCATTGTTCATCGATTTGCTCAAGCAGGCACCAGTAATGTCTCCATTGTGAGACTTGTTACTCTTTTTTGGTATATAGAATACGCCAAGTGGAGTTTGCCAGGCTCTGCCGTGTGGGTGGGATACTCTCGGTAGCTTGCCGGGCTCTCCGAGAGGAGTGGAGGAATTGAACCCGGGTCAGCCATGTGCAAGGCAAACGCTCTACCCGCTGTGCTATCGCTCCATCCCACTCAAGCTGTAGTTTTCAATATTCTTTATTCCTTTCGATCAGCACTGGCCTGCAGTTAAGAATTACAGTACTAAAGGGAGCATTCATATTCTCTTGTAAAACTTTAATTAATTTATTTATTTGTTTTTGTTCTGGGCACCAACCCAGTTCTCAGGGCTTACTACTGTATCAGTGCTCAAGGATGACTCCTGGCAGAGCACTATATGCAGTGCCAAGCATCTAACCAGAGTTGGCCTCATGCAAGGCAAGGTCCTTTACTGCTGTACTATCTCTTTGGTCCCTTGTAGAGTCCACTTAATCTTCTAGTAGAATTATAGGTAATGTTGACCTTTTAACTGCAATCACCATTATGTTTTTTAAAAAGTAGAATTAATTCACACTTGTTTAATAAGATAAGTACCTCCTTAGATTGTTTGGTTGCTTTTACGGCATTTTACAGAGAATTTTGAAAGCTAATCTTGATAATACAAGAGATAAGGCACTTGCTTTGCAAGGACTATGGCGGCTGTCACACTGCATATGTTCCTGAGTACTGACAGAGGTTACTCAGGAGCACAGATCCCAGGGATAGACCCTGAGAACTACTAGGTGTGGCCCTAAAATCCAGCCTCACCACCACCAAAAAAAAAAAAGTCTAACCAAAAAAAGGCTGATCTTGAGAAGATTTTAAAATTATATCCGACTTGTTTAATTTAAAATCATGCTAATTTTAAGTGTCTGCCAGTATTATTTCTTATTTCCTTA